AAACTGCATAGCTGTTTGTTCATTATGTGATGGACACAATGGGTCTGTGCACATTGCAGTTGGACATGACTTGTATATGCAATGTTCTATTGATTAGCTTGCAAAAATAAATTGTTTCATTGTTAAATTTTTTTGGTAAGGATATTATCAGACCACTAATGATAGGACTTTAATGTCTTCTTGCTAGTTTCATTGGCTTAGAGGCAGACGTCAATAAGGTGCCTACTGTAATAATGATGTACGTGCTCTTTCAAACTTACACAAAGCTGACTCTCACTCCCATTTTCTATTTCAGACATAAAAGCCCAAAGCTATTGGTGGCATGTCATGGTAGATGTGACAGTGTGTTTTCATCAGAAAGTCTAATGGGGATCTGGCTGAAATATATCTGATGATTGTATATATTTTGTGATGAAGTACAAACAATAAACAGAATAAACAATTTTTAATAAGAGTGATTTGTATGCACATCAGGTCAAATGGATTCTTAACAAGAGAATATATCATTTATTTTTATTCCTTCAATAAGGGAATGTTAAACATTCCATTACAGGTCTGAGATTGACCTGATGGCATTACCAAATCAAGTTCCTGATGATTAGAAATCATTATTGCATCTGTAACATATGTATTTAAAGCTTTTTTTAAGTACAAAGAGATGACATCATAAATCCATCAGAGGAGAGGATCCAGTCGCTCTGTGACAATAACGAGGAGCTCACAAGCACCAAAAATCCAAGAATAATCTTCATCAAATGGAAAAAGTTTGTCTGCTTCCTGGAATTAACAGATTAGTTTGAATACAATCATAAGACTAGTCAGGAGACAGAACAGTGCAATATAACCTAAACCACAATTTAAAATAGGATTGAATTATACTACAGCAGTGTTGATGAATCTGTACAGAGTATGATTAGTGTGATTCAGGAAACCAGTCAGTGAAACATTTAACTGTGGATGCCTACTAATGGTCAACTATTAAATAATGTCCCAGTAACAAGTATGGATGCTCAAGCATTAAACTTGATTTGTGAGCAGTTCAACATATTCAACATCTCCGATATTTGTAACCATACAGTTTCTGCTGCCGGATTTGATGAAGAATTCTATGAGAAAGCCCTTCTCAACTACTACCTGATGGGAATAGGCGGTACATTTGTATCATGCTTAGGAATCATCTGTAATATTTTGTCTGTGGTAGTACTTACACAACGAGTGATGAACTCATCCACTTACTCTTATCTATCTTCCCTAGCAGTCTGTGATACGCTTGTCCTCATATTGACCATGTTAATTCTGCTAAAAGATACACAGCATCCTCAGAAAGGGTCCTTGCTTTGGCCGGAACCATATTATGCTTATATGTTTCCCATAATTCACCCGGCAGCAATAACCTTACAGGTAACATCTGTCTGGCTGACTTTAGCATTTACTGTTGACAGGTATATCATGATTTGCCATCCATTTAATGCAGAGAAGATGTGTAATGTAAGCCGAGCTCGAAAAGTAATTATAGGACTATACATTATGGGTATAATTATCAATATTCCACGCTATCTTGAATATAAAACTGTGACAGATGAAATTCCTGCATCTGATGGCTCTGGTTTAAAAAGTTATATCTTGTACCGACTGACTGATATTGGAGCAAATAAATTATTTCGAGAAATTGTACATTCTTGGCTCTACTTAATTTGTGTTTGTGGAATTCCATTTTTTACTTTAGCTGTTTTAAATTCCTTCCTCATGTATGCTGTTCATATGTCCAGAAAAAGAGGAAAGCAGATTAATGCAAGAGAAAAAAGACGTAATGACACAACAGTAATGTTAATCGGTGTTGTAGTAATATTTCTGATTTGTCAGGGACCAGCATTGATATCTAGAATGATATGGGCCTTTAACATGACAGCAGCTTCACAATGGCCATTTCATGTGATGAATGAAGTTGGCAATTTTCTTATAATCATCAATTCTGCAATAAATATATTGCCATATTATTTCTTTGGAAAGAAATTCCGCAAGGAGTTCTGGAGACTGTTTTGTGTCTGCTTCTTTAACAAAGATGAATTGCGAAGATTGACACGAAGTTTGAGTTTTTCCATAGATAACCACAGACATGTAAGTGTTGGCAGCAATATCGCTGCTGCTGAGCTAAATGGATTTCATCATCCAAATGAACAGTACAATAGTTGTTTCAGAGACACTATTGCTACACCATTAATTCAATTCTCCAAAGATCAAAGAGATTACATTTTACCAACTCCATTTGACAACAAATCAAATAAAGACACTGACAATCCAAGTCCAAAAGCACCATCTCAGATGCCTGAAAGGGATCCTCAAAGAAACACAAGCCAGTGCTCACTTAGAGTCAGCTGGGAAATGGATAATAACAAAAACCAGAAATATAATTTATCAACTGCGGTTGAGGACTTTGAAGATTTGAAAATTATGTGAAAATTTTAACTTTGTAAATTTCTTTTTTCAGAGTGCTTCAGTTAAGATATTGCAAATACCTCCATTAATGTCTTCATCATGAATGAATACTTGAGTAATTTATGTTCATGTATTTAGAATTATGGAGGATATTTTTTTTCATAATTGTTTCTTTAAATATTAAACTTATTACATCATTTGCATCCATCAAGTCTTTAAGTGAATTTGATTATGCTTTGCCAAAATATAATCTGAAAGTGCTGAGTATTTTTAAAGTTGCATTTAGACAATTAAACTATAAATATTTCTAGTTGTTAAGTCTTTTTTTTATTTCATATTTAATTGCATGTTTTTTGCAGTATATATTAGTTTATTTTACAAGGTAAATGTCAGTATGCAAGCTTGGCTGTTGGGTTGTTTGAATAGTTAAATCAATGGATATGAGGTTAGATGAAGAGAGAGTATTCTATATTTACTGCCTCCAGTCCCTGTTAAATTTCATTGCTTTGGTAGTTTAAGAATATGCAAAAAATTAGATATTGATAAATTTGTAACATTAGTTTGAACTATAATATATATTCTTTCTAAATTTACAGATAGATATCTTACAAAATTTAATTTGAAATCAATGAAAAAAGATTTTTGTTGTTGTAATGTGGTCCTTTTATTTACATCCCAGACTTGCACATTTTATCTGTACATTTTAGTATTTTTTTTTTAATGTTTCATCTTTTGTCAGTTTCTTTGGAAGCTGTCTGCAGCTTTAAATTGTTTATTTGGATATTTTTAGTAAGGACAAGTTTCAATTATTTTGAGCCATTAGTTTTCAATTTTATTGCAAGATTAACTATGAACCCAAAATAAAATCATCGATTAAATATTTCCCTATTAACAAGTAAGATATATGTTGTGTTTAAAGTAATAAGTATCATTCATAATAAACACTCTTAGACTTATCCAAGTGGAACAAATGGGAATTTATAAAGAACTATATAGAGTACATCCCTAGTGTGTAACTAACTAAGCTAACTAGATGTCATGGCAGCTCAGTGTTTACCATCCTGAGTTTGTGACCAAAAGGGTGCAGGTTTGAATCCTACCCTCAAATCAGCCTTGGTAAGCTACCATGGAGTGTCCTTGGGCCAGGCACTCTACTCCAATTGCAAAACACCATATCAGCAGTACCTGACACATCCCATTTAATGCTTTAACAGGCATCAGTTCATAACAGGGAATGGGTACCCAGTATTCACTTTAAAGCAGATGTGTTATCCAGTATGAGTTTAAAAACTGGTAAATGACTGATTGTTAAAGTTACATTAAAAATTAAAATAAATACAAAACACACAAACTAGTCTAAACATGGAATATCATACAGCAGATTTTACCACTCAATGAGCCAGCTTTTCTCAGATTATCTAATTTTCCTGTACAGACAGTGTCAGATTTACTCATTTTATATGATTTTGATACAAAACATGATGACATGTCCATTAAGTAATGCCAAATTAGCAGAAATGTCCTGGACATGGTAAAAAATATTTGTACCACCCTGGCTACTTTATGTTGTTATACCTCAATTCATACACAAAGTCAAACTGCATATTGTATGTACATTTTATGCATTTCTGCAGAGAAAAAACAACAAAAGACACAGATTTCTGGTGGTGTCATCATGAGCCTAAATTTTGTTTGGCAATATTTCAAAAATGATATTACCAACTGCAAACTGCACAGATCTACTGTGGTATAATTTGCCAACAGATTTAGGTCTTTGCAGTTAGAAGTAATCAGTACAACAAACATCAACTGTGATCTGCATTTGCATTATGCTATTGCAGATCTGAATCTTTGTTATTTGCAGTTTGACTGGACTTAAAGAAACTGTACTGTATTTAAAAAAAAACTTTCAGAGTGCAAACACCAAGTTACTTCTTGCAGAAAATTCCCAATATTTTCTTAATTGCCATTGCCTGCAAAGCTGTTGCTATTGATATCGAACAAATAAGTCTCAGTTGAAATGTGGTAAACACACTATGCTCTATTAAATATTTAGGTTTAACAAACAAGTTTTTTTTTAAATTGTACTTTCAAGAACTGTGTATCTTTATAAAATTATTTGTTCAGATCTAGAACAGCTCTTAGGTCCCATCTTGACATATTATGGGTCAATTTATTATCTTATTGTTGTTGCTCCCAGTCTGTCCAGCTACAGTCCATCCATCCATTCAAAAGCTTTTCATCACTTCACCACTGGCAGTATTTTAATGAAAAAACTCACTACATACAGTATAAGGGGGGGTATTCTGAAAATGTTCACCTTGTAATTTGCATTTTGCATTTACATTCCTGGTTTCAGTAAAATTATGATCTCTATTATTATCATCTTTTTTTGTCTCATTTGTGTGTAAATTCATGTTTTCAATTATCCTTTTATTTATGTTTTCTTGCATTCATTCATTCGTTCCTTCCTTCCTTTGTTCATTCATTCATTCATATATTCATTCTTTCATACATTCATTCATTCATTGGTTCATTCATTCATTTGCCTATTGACTGCTTTAGTGGCCTAAGTGGTTAGAGTATCTGCTTTGGATGCAGGAGGTCATGGGTTCAAACCCCAGGCTATCTTACAAAAGATTTACACAAAGATGATTCTAGCAGAGAGGCTAGTGATAGGACTGGTCAGCCTGGTGTCAGGATATTGTGACTAGGTGAGACATGATGCCACATGTCTGTGGCATGATACCCCAGTGCTATAAACTGTCACACTGTAGATATTAAAGGCAATATGACTAAAATTGCTAAAGTTGCATTAAAAATGTAAATCACGCATTTGCTTATTTTTCATTCATTTTATTCTTTTGTCTATTCTTTTACTAACTTAACAGCCACCTAGTTCTGTTTGTTCATCAGTTTCATTGTGCATTTCTCTTACTTAAAGGACTGACTGGTTAAATCAAAAACTAATTGACTAAGATTATCAATGGCATTTTCAATAATAATTATTTAGAAGAAAGAGAAAATTGTGAGAAATTCTCATTGAGCATGTTAAAATCAAAATGATATGGCCATGGCAAATGGAATTCTTGAAGAATTGTTGAATTTGTATGAAGAAAACAAATATGTACAATTTAAAACATTTCATGCATTAACTTTTCCAGACATTAAACATATTGCATGTATCAAAATTTGCATGAAATGGTAAATCAGTCAATAAAATCTATATTTTGTAAAGAATACATGCTGTTACATAATGTTGAGAAATATCAGTGCAGAGGATTACCTCTGTACATTCTACAGGATTTGTCTATATTTAGACATTCAAGTCATAAATTTAATTTAGATGCAGAGGATTACCTCTGTACATTCTACAGGTTTTGTCTATATTTAGACATTCAAGTCATAAATTTAATTTAGATGCAAAGGATTACCTCTGTACATTCTACAGGTTTTGTTTATATTTAAACATTCAAGTCATAAATGTCTATATTTAAACATTCAAGTCATAAATGTCTATATTTAAACATTCAAGCCATAAATGTCTATATTTAGACATTCAATCCATAAATGTCTATATTTAGACATTCAAGCCATAAATGTCTATATTTAAACATTCAAGCCATAAATGTCTCTATTTAGACATTCAAGCCATAAATGTATCTATTTAGACATTCAAGCCATAAATGTCTATATTTAGACATTCAAGCCATAAATGTCTCTATTTAGACATTCAAGCCATAAATGTCTGTATTTAGATATTCAAGCCATAAATTTAATATAGATGCAGATGCATGTAAAGATGACCACTTCTGAATGTCTATTTTTATAACTTCTAGTTTACAAATAGTTGATGACAAAAACTGTACTATTCTTAAAAAGCAAAACAAATACTAAGACATTAGATAAAAATATGATGATAAATGCAGGTGTACCTGTGCGTCTACAGCTAGGTGTTGTCACCTCAATGTCCATACTTTATAAAACATTTATTAGCTAGACAAAAACTTGTATTTAATGTCTGAATGGTATAATATAAGAAGTGCTTTATGGTAGACTTTGTGTGTGCATCATAGGATGAAATGAAGAATACATCAATTTCTAATTGTATGAAGACAACATTGTAACAACCATTTCAGTTATATAAAAGTGTCACTATATTAGGCTGTAATGTTATTTGAATCCTGATACTTCATATAAAATTTTCCACTGTTACAAATTTGATAGGGTTTATGCAGGCTATTTATAGGAATGAGGTTATTATACATGTATTATATGGATATCTGTTAAAGCAATATATGATGGGAAAAAGGTCTTATTCATATATTTATTTCAATTTTTGCTCTATACATTTTTCATCCACATTCTTGATTTAATATTCAGTAAACATGGCAGCTTTTATTTGTGCATGTATATTGCAACAAGATTGGTTTATATATCCAGAAATTCTTCAGCTAGAATTCAAATTAAAGTGTCAGGCTTAAGAATTTCAACTTTGGAAAATAAAAATTTACTGACTAGCTCAAAATGATGCACACACTGCATTATGTCCTCTTCAGGGCATTGTGGTTTTGCTGAGTGTTCTAGTGGGAGTGATTGAATGGAAGACAATCTTGATTACAGCATTAATCATAAAACAGTCTAAGCACTTCACAATATTAATTGCCAGATAAGGATGTACATATAAAAAATGCATAAAATTTACAAGCAAAGCATGATAAAAATGATTGATGGTAAATAAATATTTTAAAGTCCTGTTAAATGTGTCCTTGCAGCAGAAAGTTGATAGTTTTTTAGCACTTTTGAATGAGATCATTGTGTTATTGTGTTAAAGTACAAGAGGCAATCCATTTCAAATAGCTGTATTTTGATATGTAAAAAATGTCCATTAGTTTTGGTTAAAAAAGTTGGAATAATCGGTGTCATCAGAAGAACATGTTGCTAAAAGAGGTGTGCACATTAAGGAGGTCAGACAGGTATTTCAGATTGTTAGCAGCCAAAGAAACACAGCAGAATAAAAAAGATTTTTTTTTATGTGGTTGATTCTGAAGCAAATAGGTATCCAGTAGAGGGTACCGAATAGGTTTTAGTTTCTTAAGGGCAATCTGAGCAGCAGTATTTTCAATATTTTGAGATTTCAGGTGTAGGTATTGAGACACACCAGATGGAAATGAATTGCAATAGTCAAGTCTAGAAAGTTCTAAGGAACACATAAGTGTCTTAGTGGTATCAACATAAAAAATGCAAATGAATACATGGTGATATAATGTGTCAAAGTTTGATGAATTACTGAATCCTAAAGTTGAATAAATTGTGCATTAAAGTTATCATAGTCAAGTCAGAAAGGTCTTGAGAATGTTCACTCTGATATTTCTCTTATTTCATCTCTGAAAGATAAAAGGGCGTACATTTAAGCTTTAGTGGAACTGACTCAGTCATCATAAAGGTATAGTGGCAGTGAGTACACTAGAATTACCTACTGCAATGGTTGGAGGAGCCCTTATGTCAAATAATTGATCTTCAAAGTAAAGTTAATTGCATCATATTCGAAGCTGTGTAAAATTGATGAAAGACATGATTATTTGGGGAAAATTTAGAAACAGTTGCTTTTGATTGATCAGTTATAATTATGGCATGCACTTTAGAAATAATGTGAAATTTAAGGTAGCAGTTGAGCTCAGAATTCTTTAGCTGATTTTTCTTGTGAGAAGACAAAGTTGGCTCCATGGGAAACCCAAGAATAGAGTTTTCCCTCATTAATAAATTAGAGAGGTCAGATAGATGTCTTGAAATAAAAGACAGGCTAAAGTGCTAGGATACATGATTGTGTGGAAAAGAAATAGCATCAAAGTACACAATTTTAATTTCCATTTAATATTCTTTTTTGTTTGGTTTTATGCAAATGTGTTTGATATCCTTATGATTCATGCATGTATCATGTATTCATTTCATAGGACTCTGTTCATATGTTAGAATGTTATGCAATTTAATTCTTTAAGTTATTAGCTGATAGATTTGACAGATTTGTGATGTAATTCTAATTTCAAATACTAATGAAGAATTTCTTATGGTTATATGAATTAATTTTCTTTGTCTATAGGATGATACTGTTTATCATGAGTTAATGATAATTGCATATTTATACATGATTTTGCAATGCCTAAATGATCTTGTATGTTATTGGTTACTGTAAGCTAGGATTTAGTGAATCTTATAAAATAGTAATCAAACATTTATCTTACTGAGTGGAATTGGCTAGCTACTTATAAGGAGATGTATAGTAATGTATGATGATATGTATGGAAATTGTAATTATACATACTGCCCACATGTAATTGCTGCTGTGAAGTGAAATCTAATTAACCCTTGCTTGGATGTATTTATGGATGTATATTACAGAGATCATTTGTAATGACTGTTAATCATGAAGGTCACATTAGGACAGAATTTATGCAGTGTGGATAGCTATTTATGGTTCTAAAATAATGAAAGTGAGAGATTTTGTATATAAATAGATAGGTGGTGAAAACATACAACTTTAGCTGTAATCTTGTCATTTAAGGGAACAGCTTTCTATATCCATTCTCGAGAACTCGATGAGGACAGTCCAAGATGGAAGTCCGCAAATAGAGGGTTCAGAATAGAAAGAGTCAGAGGAAAACCAAGCATACATGCTAGACGTGGAATATACGAAGCCTAAAGAAGATGCCAGGTGATGCAAGATGACATCACATTGTATTCTTTTCACCACACATTACTATGATGAGTGAATCCATAAATTGAACATTGCTATTAAATACCATTAATGTAAATCTGTTGGATTAAAATTGCATTTATTAGTTTATGTATTAAATAAAAATTTATTTTATTTTATTGTTTTTGGGTACTGGTATTTGTTTATTTCTTCCCAATAGTCTCACATAGTTGTCTGTAAATATTCTATCTACTCACACTTGGTAATAACATTGATGGAGGCCATTCACTAAATAATGATCACCAAATCAATCAACAGGGCACGACACACCAACCCCATTACAGGTGATCAAAATGGTATTTGCTTCATCATCTTCATCTACAGCTTTTTACATGTCATCCATTATTTCACATCAGAAATGTATTTCTCATTGCCATAGATGGTAGCATCAAATTTAGTTCAGTAACTAGATTTGTATACTTGAGTATCTGAAGCATTCATTTCATGAGACAGAGTGTAATTATTTATGTCACTTCAAAGTCGCTGAATGTACAGAATGATGAGAATGAGTCTAATAAGAGAACCCTGTGGAATACCAGTACAAAGATGAACTAGACTGGAATGTTTTCCATTTATGAAAACAATTTGTGTTTTGTCAGCTAAGTATGACTTGATCCATAAGGATCTATCCTGAATACCAGATACATGCTGGAGATTATCAAGTAATATATAATGTTCTCTTGTGCCAATGCTGCATATAAGTCAAGCAAGGTGAAAACTGACATCTTTCCACTATCCAAAGTAGAGATGTCATTAACTACTTTCAGAAGGGCAATTTCATTACCATGATAAGTTTGGCATGCAGACTGAAAATTAAAAGTGTAATTACATTCAGATGTGTTACAAATTGGGGCTTTTTCTAAGACTTTTTACAGAAATGG